TTAAGAGTTAATTTGAGAGATTAATACACATTATTATATCACTCAATAGTCATCTCTCTCTCTCTCTCTCTCTCTCTCTCACTCACTCACTCACTTACTCTATATATCCACAAGTGCAAACAATTACAAACATACTTCACAATTATTGGTACACTTGATATATCTTAGTCCTTAGATACTTCTAGTGTAGCTAGGATAACAAAATTAATTTTATAATTTAAGATAACATTCCTAGGCACCAGAAACCAAGTTTCATAAAGACCGGATTATTGGTCTTTATACTGGAAATTTTTAAAATGTGTCAGTCCGAATTATTCTTTGAAATTTAGGCAAAAATATTTTATCAAAAATAAGCATATTTTTAGATTGAAAATAATTTTATGATAGATATGTTTGGAGTTATTATTTGGTTATTGGGGTTCACAATTGGTTATCTGACAACAGTTTAGAGCAGTTATTACGACACTACTTATAACGGGAATTAAATGCAAACACAACGAACACAGGCCACCAATCGTGTCGACTACCGATAATGAAGTGGCCACAGTTTAGGCATCGGTCAGATTTGGCCAATAAATATGATATGATTATTTACAATAGATATTGACGATATAGGAAGAGTAGGGATTTTCTATTATCTATTATTGTTTAAGCATGATCAATTTACATGCGATTTTAACCGTCAAAATCACAAAAATAGACACCTTCCCATAGGATTACATTATTTTGCCTGCCTTTGTTAAAAAATTTACTGTATAAAGGTTAATCACCCGATCTTTATGAAACTTGGTTTCTGGTGATTGGGAATGTTGACTTAAATTATAAAATTAATTTCGTTAAAATATCTCTATTAAATCTATACGAAGACTAAGATATATCAAGTGACCCAATACAAACATGATTCACTTTATAAAATAATTTAAAATTAGTGATTTAAAATTTAATGAAATTATTAAATTGACGCAATTTTTAAATTAAATTAAATGTTTTAAATTACAATTTATACAGCTGGCATTGAACTACATAATATGTAGTAATACATAATATATTATAATAATTAGTGTCAAGTTTGTGCTTTTACGTTTAATATCAGTTTTTAATTTCATTAGTTTTTCCTATATTTATAATAATTCAAGTTTTAGTGATGAACCTTTTTATTTACTTGTCTATAATTGGTATGTAAATATATTTTCAAATATTTATACTAGTTGATATTTTTAATTATAATGCATTACAGCAGTAATGTATAATTATTTAACTTGTTCATAAATGTATGGCGATGTCTCTGAGGCATTTTAACGTTTGTTACTGTAAAATACACTATGTTTAAGGTCTGACTTTTGTCATAGATTTACATACAATCTGTAACTTTATAAGAATGAGAGAGAGAGAGAGAGAGAGAGACAAAATATTTATTAATTATATTATATATGACTCTTAGGTGTGATATATTGTGCCTTTGAAGAGGACGAAGCGGCTATTGATAGCATAGCTCAACGCTATGAACGATATGGCAATGGAGTCGAAGCACCGGAAAAGTTGGAAATTATTAAAGAGAAGTGCAATGAAATTGGGAATACAAACGGCACGGGTAGACTGTGAGTAGAGTAACTTTATTTTATTTAATATATTCAAAAATGTTATATCTTATAATATACATGTAATATTATATGTATTTAGTCAATAAATGGAAATTTAAAAATTTTGATATTTTATTTTATATTACAGTTTCTGGGATATAGTCACCGGCTTGAAATGGGCAGGGTACCTCAAACCAAGGATCCGGGATGTGGTTATGGAGAGTCCCAGCATTCGATTCTACGAGAAAGTTAACTTATTTTGCACATTGCCCGATGATAAAATGTTGAAATACACACCCATTATAAACGCTAAACTGGTCGAGACTAAAAAACTACGTGACCGTTACCTTGGATATTTAGAAGATGCTTTGAAACAGTCGAGAATTAACATGGGCGAAATAGTATGGTATGGATTTTTAAAAATGTATAAAATTGGAAATTTAACAGGCAAAAATTTTATTTATATATTAATATGAACTCAGACTTGTTAGCTTTATTTGATGAGATTTTTATACATGTTTTTTTTATCCTGTTATGTTTTAAATATATTATAATTAAGGTAAATAATATTAGTTAAGTTTCCTTGTCATACAGAACAGAATATACTATGAATGTGCTTATGTAAGCTTTGTGAAAGCTCTTAGGAAGCGTATAGTTAATGACCACATTCCTAGTATATAGTAAATTAATAATGTGTTAATAGTGATAATCTAACGAGCGTGTAGAAAATAATCTCACATGATGCACTATTACACACGAATGTCATAGGTATTTTTTATGTATAACAATATATTGTTTTGTAAATTGATTGCACATTATGATTACATGCTAACTATTAATTTTTTAAAAATACCGCTGATTGTGAAATAACATGTTAGAATTAAATACCAATAAAACAATTACAGCATTGGCCGTGACTTCTGGGCTAAAGTGATTGATATGCACGACGACATCGATGGGTTCAGGGAGTTCTCACACAAACGTATTGAACTCTATCCGGCAATACTGAACAGAACGGAGCACATGTTGGGCGTAAAGGTGGACACAAAGTGCGAGATGAAAGAGTCCTACCCCGAAGCAACACTTAAATCGTATACCGTGTTGATGGGTAGATTACTTACAAAGTATTCGGAGTCAGCACTTTAATCAGATTTTATACAAATTACTAATTATTTTGTATATTAATAGTTTATACATTGATAAACTAAATTTGTAATTAAAAATTTGTTTTATTAAATTGTAACATTTATAATCTGATGTAGTTTTATGCATTTATTTTATTATATTATAGTTGTGTTAGTTATTATAAACGTAGTTGTTAACATTATTGCCAGGAGAGCACTAGGCTGGCCATAAAATTTTAGCCTAAGGTAAATACAAAATGAAACATATTACAATTTGATGATGTATTTTAGTGTTTAAAATAACGGTTACATAAATATTATATTATAACCATTGCTATATTATTAAGGAAAACACTTAATATTATGTTTTATAAAGTATTAGAATATTATATAATGTAGTATATTATAGTATTAGTAATTTATGTATTTTAAAAAACTACATTTATTAGGTATTGATAAATTTAATATTAATAATCTATATTTATTTTGGTGTGTTTTATGTGTTTATATAAATAAAATGTTTAAGTAATTTCAAAAATAAAAAGTTAATTATTAAAATTTATTATATACTGAATATAAGTTATGATGGTTTGATTTGTTTGAATAGTTGTATGAATTATTTAATTAGCAGTTGTAACCACTATACATAGAGATACATGTACCAAAACGTAGATTTTTTATTTAAACATTACAATGAATGTCATACGTTATTTATTTGTGAGTTTTTATTGGCAATCTTACAGTATTTTTTTAACAAATAAGTTTTTATTAAACTAAAAATGATGGGCATCACATCAATTATCAAGCTGTTTATTTTCTTGACAATAATTGGTATGTAATTATATTTTTGCTCATATATTTATATTTATTTAATATAGCTCATTAAAATATAATTTATGTGAGTGAGTGAGAGAGCGAGAGCGAGCGAGCGAGAGAGAGAGAGAGAATATTTTATTTAAAACTAGATACTAAATCAAAATTGTAAACTGACCACAACTAAATGAATAAAAATTAAGATTTAAATTTGAACCGAGGGTGTTATATGCGGTTCACAATTAGCGACCGAAGTGTTGATGTTGTCTTCGTTACGAAGGAATGGACATTATATTTGTTATAACTGTTTATTAATAAAGTGTTGTTACGAATGGGTAACACACGAAGTGTTCCCTTCGGAGTCTAAAGTGACTCTAGTTATAGTACATGGTTTGTTAGGGTCTTATATAGTGGAAAGCATAGCTAAAGTACAATATGGTATGACTTATGCCTTCGTATAGATATACAGTAATTATAACAGTTATTGAGTATAAGGTATTACAATGTGAATGGAATTATACTAATGAATACAATCATATGAATAATAGGAAAATAACAGGTAATGAGTATATATTAATAAAGGGTCTAACCAGCCCCGGTTCAAATTTAAAATTTTAAAAAATTAAACTAATTCAAGTTACTCATTTGATTATAAGTATATCTTACAAGATATTAGATACAATGATTGACTCTCTCTCTCTCTCTCTCTCTCATAACAGTAAATACAAACAAAACATAATATAATAATGCTAAAATTAAAATTTAATATATTAATAGAAAATTAGTACATATAGCACAAATAAAAGTGTATACATATTGACACGTCGGCCTAAAGCCCGACGCTCTGCGCATCGTCTCAGCGGTGCTTTACGCCCGTAGTGGGCATTCAGTCTTGATGGGTAGCGACACATGGCGTCCAATCCCCGTCTGCTCCCTTCCGGTCCGCACATCCTCTGCTTCTGTCCGGTCGTCGCGCTCTCCGCGCTGGTCGACTGCGTGGCCTATAGTCTCCGAACGGTTTAGACATCCGGTGTTAGTGGCGGTGTCGACCATTGCGGTGCGAGTCCGCGGTTTGCAGAGTCCATCCAGTGGTGTTCGAACCGACGGTTTTACCGAGCCGTCCGTGTACAGGGGAGGAAGGGAGGAAGTGAACACCCCAACGGCCGCCACGGGCCACACAGGCCCGAAGGCCTGAATTGATTGTTACTCACCAGTGACTGTAAAGTCTTTTATTAATGCTTTTCCCAATAAAATAAGATACAAATGGCTGACAAGAGGTCAGCCAAAAACAAAGACACGTCCTTAACTCTTTTAAGACTAAAGCTCAATTGACTAAAAACTGAAGTTCACTCAACGAAATCTAATCTAAACTAATGCACGCAATCGCGTTTACGACCTTAAAGCTAAACTATTATTGGCTGAACACAAATGCGTCAGATATAATCGTATTCCTATAGACTATAGTGCTACACTGGCCTTCCCACTACCAACAAGTGTGTTATAATGGCTTATCTTATACAGTGAAAGCGGTATTAATTAATGGGAATAAATGGGTGTCGGCAAGAGTCTCACTGTAAGTACAATAAACCCTTTTAGTTGAATAATTGAATCTATATTTGCTATATAATCTTAGCAATAGTGATAGTATCTATGGTGATTGGCTGATATGTCGTCACAATTTGCTTAATGCTACAATATTTAATATACAAAATAAATGCTACTTGTTCATAATATTTAAAATATGTAATTAAAGCGCTGATTCCAAATACTTTGCAAGTAATTTACAATACAACACAATAAAAGAATTATATTTAGCCTCGGGGTAGGAATCTTTTATCTCGCACTTTGTGTCCACTTTTACGCCCAACATGTGCTCCGTTCGGTTCAATACTGCGGGATAAATGTCGACACGTTTGTGTGAGAACTCTCTGAACCCATCGATGTCGTCGTGCATATCAATCACTTTAGCCCAGAAGTCACGGCCAACGCTGTAATTGTTTTGTTTATGGAAACAAATACAACAATTTCATTATTAATACATAAAACTAATATTTAAAATATATTTGCAATTTATAAAACTTACACGTTATTTGTGAAAAACTATTACTTATTTACTTGTATGAGTAATTTTATACAATTATTTACTAACATCTCGTAGTTAATTGTTTTTAAAAGTAAAGCATATATTGAATGTAATTTCCCACGTACAACTTTTAATAATATTACTGTATGTGTATAATATTCACCTAAACCTTAATTATTATTTAATGATACATATTATTATATATTAAAAATCACATACCATACTATTTCGCCCATGTTAATTCTCGACTGTTTCGTAGCATCTTCTAGGTATCCAAGGAAACGGTCACGTAGTTTTTTGGTCTCGGC